GGTTAGTTGACAAATTCATCAACCACTTTTAAATAACTAGTTTTAATTAGGGTCCACTGATTTGCATTTTTTCACTGTTGAATTTCATCTTCTATTTTATCATTTTTTAATCACAAGATCTTCTGAGCATTTAGATGCTTTTGCCCCAGCTCTTCAGACTGATTCTGTACCATCCACATACTGTCCCTTCAATCCCTACATCTCATTTTCAAACTAATTTCTGAAGGTGCTGAACAAAGTTCTCAGCACGGATTGCTTTGCAGTGTCACTGTGGATCTCTGCACTACAAAAAAAGGCCATTTATTCCTATGCTTCATTTTTTAACATTTAAATCTGCCGTGAAAGAGTCTTTACTCTCATTCTATGACAGACTAGTTTAAAAGTACAAAAAATAAAATCTGCCTCCAAAAGGTATAAAATATATATAAATATGGATGATCAGTATATTTAATGCGTTACTCAGATGATCTCTTAACTCAGCAGTTTTATCATGCATGACTTTCTTCTACAAAAAAAAAAAAGTTCAATTCTCCCCACTATCATATGTCATTTGCCTTTATTAGAATTTCTATTAATTTCCTTCATAATGAAATCAGGCTCATTCATCTGTTTCTGCTAAATTCAGCCAGAGAATCCTTTTAAAATATTTTTGATCCCACTCTTGAATACAGGATTACACATAACAGTTCATTATTTTTGTATCTTAGTTCTTTCAAAGCTTTTGGGCAGCTGCCATATGAACCCAGCCTTTGAGTTTCCTTCCCACCCCCAAGTGTTTTGCCAAACATTTTATACCAAATATCAAATCTATGGATACATCACCTGTCCCAGACATAATTATGTAGGGCCAAATCTGTGATAGCAGTCCTTCTGTCTAGTTCGTTATCGTTTTCTATATACTTTTTTTGAAAAATCACAAACAAATTAGACTATATTTTCTCACAACAGACAGATTTAGGAGAAGGAAAAAAAAAACTGGAAAGCCAAGTAGGGCTACTGTTGCAGCCATCCTGTTGTTATGACCTGTTGAAGCCATGACAAGACTTATTCTAGTATTGCAAATCTACATAGGCATCATTTTCATCACTTGTGTCATCATGTTCACCTGATGAAAGGACTATTGGCAACGTGCCATGAGCCTTGATTATGTGGCTGCCAAATTCATTCTTGAACTCCAAATGATCCCCATGGTTTGTTTCCAAATAGGTGCTTTCCTATGAAGTACAGCGGTAGGTGACACTTCATTGTAAAAGAAAAACATTCCGGCATCACGCTAAAGTTTGAAAAGTTGCAACGATTTGTCTTTAAGACGTCTCTGTTTGGATGACGTAAAAATTAAGAAATGAGAACCTACTTTTTTCACCTTGATTACAGGCAGGATATTTCACAAATAAGGTGAAGTTTGTGGGGTTTTTTTGTATTTTAAAGGAGGAAAATTCATAAAAAGATTAATATACCTTTTAGGGTAAGGGCTCTTTTTTGATTCAATATGATATGGGCCAGGAATTTGCTGTGAGGAATTAGTTTCCTGGGAATATCTTCTTGCAACATTTGGAAGAGGCAGTCTTTTTTTTTTTTTTTTTTTTTGGAAATATCCAGAAGAAAGATCACTGAAGTGTTACTTTCTCATTCTATTTTATTTCACAGTTATTAATACTTTACATGTAAATAAATGCAACTGTTTCCAGCAGTCCTTGCTGAGAAACCATGCTTTTCCTTAAAGTTAGAGATTTACAGTTGATAGAAAAATAATATTCTAAAAGCATTAATGTAACTCAGAGAACAGATTTACAGCCTTAATAATAGTAACAATGGTAATAATAGCATTGTTAGTAATAGGAGAATATATTTCTAAATGTCAGTAGTGGTATTTTAAACAAAAAAGGCTAGCAATGACTGTAAATGTGTGCTATGAGAAACACTTGCATGTAGCTGCCAGACAATCTCAATGAAGGATTTCATTGTTGAATTATGAAATCATTGTGTTTGATATTATTATATACATACACTCTAGATTTGATGCAGATCACAGTCAAGAAAGATTCCAAGTGGCCCCAGAAGTCTTCATTAATCCTCTGCCAGGAGCAGCTTATAATTAATTATTAAATAAATCTATGGATTATACCTAGCTTCAGAACATTTTCTGTGCTGTTCTGTGCTGTCTTCTCACATTGTGATAAAAGCAGAGTCAATACAGAGAATACTGTTCTCCATTTCTCTGTAGACCACACAGTAACGTATGGACCCCATCCCACCCAACAGTTTTGAAATAAATGAGCAAAAAATGCCATTTTTCTTTTCAGACTCTTTTGCACCTATTTTCGTAATGTCTTTTTCTATATATCATCTCCTGTTGTTCAAAATACTTGGAAACTGGCTTCTCACATAAACTTTCACTTGGATACTTGAAAACATTGGAACAATTCTCCTACCTTTAGCAAATAAGCTTGGCAGTCACTAACATAATCGTACTCCAGTCCATCAAATGTATAATAATGTCGATCTCCATAAATAGTGCATACAGCAGGACAAGGATAGCTGGTGCAATTGAATACCCCTCTCCGGCAAACACTGGAAGGAAAGGTAACAGCCAGTAACTTCTCATAGCAAGGCCATTTGCTTTTGTATTTTGAAGGAAAAAGGTCTTGTGCTTCTTATTCAAAGCATACAGAAATTCATGAAGGAAAGTATTTTCTCAGACCTTGAAACAGGGCTACTCTGTGGATTGCTTTTGAAATTATGGGGTTTTTGAAAATTCTATTAATTCTGAAAATTAAGTAATTTCTGAAGTTACTGAATTCTGAAATAGTGAGAGAATAGTTTTGAGCATTAGGCCATGAGTACACGAATACATAAGAATGTGTAAGAAATTAACATAAAATCTTACAATTTTTATGGCAGATGCAAATATATCCATCACTGTATCTCATATAACTAAAGCATTGTGCTGCAACACGCACATTCATAAAACATCATTATCATATTTTTCGTGTGACATTTTGATACATTTTCTGAGATGCAAGCAGCACATAATCAGTGCAGATGTCCAGCTGCTACCAAGATATCCAACAAGTACAAATTGATCTTAAGAAATGCTCATGCTTTGAGGGATTATTTTACCTGCCATTTACCTGTTCAGTGATTTAAACGTATTTGTATGAAGCTAGGAGCACTCAGAAGTACTGAGAGCCTCTGTTGCCCATGCATGAGTGTATTAAACTCAATCAAGTTGCCAGTGATGTTTTCAGCTGAATAAAAACTGCCATACCAAATTTTGTTTGTTTGTCTGAACAACTAAAATATATATCTAACTAAAGATAGATTTTGGGGAAGCAAAATATAATGGGTGAAAATATGTTTTCTGCCAATATGAATCAGGTAAGGTTCCTCAGGAAGGGCACTGGGTGAAATCTCATTTTCCATTTATATTGCTTTCTTATTTCCATTTTTCTTTTATGACCAATTCCTCCACTGTCTTGACATAAGGCAGGTTTTCCACTGCCCCTGCTCATGCTGAGTGATCTCACACTGCAAACAGTCTAGTTCCCAAAGAAGCAGACCATTTACCATTGTCATATAGTTTTTTTTTCTCCTCCTTTGTTCTTTTTCCATTGAATATAATGAAATATATTCCATTCTCTGAAATACCAACCGTCTTTTTTTTTCAGAGGTTAGCTAATACATATCTAATCAAACAGTTTTTCTGAACTGATTTTTAGCTTCTTCTCCTTCTTTTTCAGACCCAAAGAAGCAGTTACTTACCCAAAAGTTTACTTTACTTGGTCTAGTAAACCAAGTCTGTAACTGGGTCTAATAAAAGATATTTCCTGTGACTGACTACAAACAAACATATAGATTTTTGATTTTCACTGTACTGCATACATTTTCTGTATCAGTTTTCCTTTGTAGCAGGTTACTGACAATTTGGAAATACATAAAATGCATGTCACTCACCAAGTGTAACAAGGTGTAGCTATCACTTCTCCTGACAGAAATTCCCTGTCTTTCCATGTGCATGGGCAACTGTCCGGAATATAACATTTCCCTCTGTGCTCTGCCATCCTTGAAAACAAAAGGATTATTTTTAAAATGAAAACAAATTCACAAGTAGAACAACATAGTTTATCGAGTGGAGCCTTGTCTAAACCCAGCAAGAACACAAGGACAACTGGTCCTCAGTGCAGGCAGCCAGGCCAATAATTTCAGCAGCAACAGCTGCGGCAGAACAAACGACCTCCTCCTTGCACAGTTGGAGCCTTAACAAGGCTTCACCACTGCAGCTCCTTTCCCATGAGGTGGAGAAGTCTGTGTGAGGCTCAGCTCCTTCCATGAGGGCACGGAAGCCCAGGCGCTTCTCCTGCCTGAGCCCGCTGCATCCGTGTGTGAGCGATGCTGCTACGGGCTGCTCCTTCCTCCCTGCTGCTCCATCCTCCTCCCACACCAGGGAAGCAACAGGAGCAATGATCCCACTCTTCACACAGAGCAGCCATCACCCTGTTTTGAGCAGAGGACAGAGAGCAGGATTTTGGCAGCTCTGGTGGGGTAGCAGGACAGAAGAAACGCAGTGGTAAAAGCGAGCTGTCTACGCTGGGGAAGCAGAAATAGCTAATGAGATTAGATGAATGGAGTGCCATTTAATGTAAAAAGCTGCAAAAAGTCCAATTAGGGCATGAATAAGGGACTTGGAGGTCTTGCTGATCACTTTTGGCTGTCTCCTCATTTCTCAGGGAGTTTAGCAACATTTACTTTACAAAAGCATTACAGACACTCCAAGTATTGCTTTGTAGGTGGACAATTACTGCAGTTGTCATTCTGACAATTGACAAGTCAGAGAGATTTGTTTTCCAAGTATAGATTTGAGATTGCTTAATTGGGAGGTAAAAGCAAGGCACATAGCAGAGTTTTCTTCCTTCACAACTAATGTTTCATTAAAGATTATGTTGCTTTAAGTGAAAGAGCCAAGTTAAATGCTCAGAAAAACAATTGAAAATAGGAAAGCACTAGATGTCTTGGGGAGGTCTACCCACCAAGTACCTTGGGGAGGTACTTTAGAGTCTCCATCAATGGAAGTTAGTTTTGTACCTGACAAGAATAACATAAATAATTGTTGATACTGTTTAAAGGAAAACAAAATAAAATAATCGTTAGATCGTTTTATGAGGTCACTTACCATCCTACTCTTCGTATTTCTGTGATTCAACTATGCTATTGTACCTCCATCTCAGTGCGAGGATGTCTTTCACTGTATCTCTGGTTGTTCGTTCTTTGATTGATGGCAGTAATTACACCTTTACCTTTCCATTAAATTTAAAAAATGCTGATTTTCCTATTTATCCAAATAACTTATGTTTCATGAAATTTTATTCCATTATTCAACAGAAACAAGGGGTTTAGCTTTTATGTGTCTTTATATTTTCTGATTCAGAAAAGCAGCAAGTGATACATTCAGTTTTAAATGGCATATCCTATTCACCAGGAATAGGGAGCTACTTTTCTTTTAACCTATATTTTAATTATTTCAAAATCTCAAAAGAATTATCATTATAATGCTGGTAGTTTCAGTTATTGAAAATATCGTTAAGACCTATCAGCAAGTAATTATCAATTTTTACTTTATGACTTCCACAGATTCACACATATTTGCATTAATAATAATTGTTTACTTCTATTTACTTCTACCTACCAGCATTCTTGGAAACTAATTCCTTGGGTGAAGCAGAGAGTATAAAGGATTACAATATATCAGGCAAGGGCATTATAAAATAGTTATGCCTGACTTCTATCCTTCACCAGCACGTAGTCATGTCTTATTGAAACAGATGACTCTGTTATTGAAATTATTGAAGTTCTATCAGTCTTATTAGATTCTGATCTATAGACAACCGAAATACTGCCAGGGACCATTGACTTGCACATTCAAAGAAACAAAATCAAGTGTTGATTAAAAATTTGGCAGCACTATACCTGAAATAGAATTGGAAAAAATTACACACCTCATCTGAGTCTTCACATTTGAAAATGACTTTGAAAGAGACTGTATACAAGAGATTTCAGGAAAAAAAAAAACACGAACAGAGTGGTGGTGGTAGATGCTCATAGAAACTGCGCAACAAATATTTTTAGCCTTCTAGTTTTAGCTTTCTGATTTGTGCTTTGGTTTGACCCCTGCTCAGCAGACTGTTTCTGGAAACCAAATCCAAACATGTGAGCTGAGAAAATGAAAGTTCAGCAAAATTTAGAAGAGGGAAGAGAGAGACAACAAAGGAGAGGGGGGCGGGATCCATCCCGCACCTCCTTCCTCCCTGCCCCACATCAGAGCGCCGTATCACCTAGGAAAGACAGTTAGCTTGGGCAGCAAGCAGGAACGTAGGTGTCCTGTGAAAAGTATATGTGTACCTGATGCTGGAGTATTCTGACAAAGGCTTACCCTGGTGGGCAAATACAGCCGCTTGCACAAGGTGGTGAGGGGACGCAGGAGAAGTTCATGGCAAGGTTTGCACAGGAGACCCCACAGTTTGCGCCAGCTGCTGGTAGTCCAGGCACAGGAGATCTGCAGTCATAGTAGATTTTTCCTTCAGGGCATACGTGAACTTGAAATGGGAAATGCAGGTGAAATGAGATGAATGCTGAAGTTTCTGCAATTTGTTTTAGTTCATCTATTTATTTTTAGCATATGTTACAGTATCATTAGGTAATATATAGCTATATATAGTTAGTTAGATAATGTATAATTAGTATATATCACAGTATACAAAAGAAGATAATAAAAAAAACAGACTATAGATTCATTCGTATTACATGAGTAATATAATTAATATTTGTTTTAATGTATAGCAAACAAAAATATTTAACACAAGTCTCTTGGGTCAGATCCACAGCCCATTTTAAAAATCAAATAATTATGCCTCAGGTAGATAGGATTTTTAGAAGTGCTGTAATATTCAGTGCACTAAAATCCATTCTAAAACCATTAAAAATCTGCTAAAATTTAATTTCCTAGAAATCAAGATCCTGAATGTGCATAAAGAGGGATTCCAAGCATAATTTTAAGTATTCCCATTAGGACATATTGACCTATATCTTCCTTTAAATTTTTAAAGAATTTAAAAAAAAAAAAATTGTGAAACTGTAATATGAGACAAGAATACAACCTACCTGTATTTTCCGTAGTGACTTCAATACACTTCACTGTTCCATTCAAACACTGGCTGGCAAAAGAAAAGCAAACTCATCTTTATTCCAGGAAAAAAAAATATGTTTGCAACCACCACACTAGAAGGCACAGCAGTACTTAACCCAATTTAAACAACTGAAATCAAGACGAGATGATGCTTAAAATCCCCAAGCATATGACCTGATCAGCATTTTATTCGGATTTCTAAATGCTGATCTGTAGTCATAGAATCACAGAATAGTTGAGGTTGGAAGGGACCTCTAGAGATCATCTTGTCCAACCCCCCTGCTCAAGCAAGGACACCTAATGATGGACCTAAAGTCACAGAGATATTAAGGTGCTTATTCAGTTGCTTAACAATCACTGAAATGAAAAAAGGAAACCAGGTACTTTAGCCTCCATGGGCATGGAGCCCCAGGTGGCTCAGGATACTGCCAGTGTAACGCAAAACCTTTCCACCCTTGGAGAATAAGGAAAGGTACTATCTGCAAGTTGTCTCTTACAGAGAGGTTACGGTACATAGTTGGAGTCTTTTTTTTATTAAATATACAGTCAAAAAATACAGTGGAGAGTAAGCCTCATTCTTTTTTTTTTTTTCCCTCTCCCTTAAAGTGAGTTGGGTGTATGCACACGCATGCCAGAAAACTGAAGAATCTATTCTCACCTCTTCAATGTCAGTTATAACAGCCATAATATATGAGACATCAGGAAGAACCAACTTTGACATATTTTTAAATTAGCAGGTTAAGAGCATTCTTTGTAAAATGAACACGTTAGACAAGGAGACTGGGGAGATTCCCCCACTTGTTTTAGGTCAGGATTCCATCACAAATAAATGATACAAAAAGACAAATATAGCTCTCCACAAGGCCTTGTTTGAAAGGCTTTCCAAAATAGAATCACACTGTTTATTCTTCTGAAACCAGCCTCACATTGCTATCATTATGCCTGCGAATCTTAAGACCAGGACTGCAGCCTCTGTGCATGTATTCAAAGATAGTCTTTAGTCCATAGCTTACAAATTTTTGCATTTATCATCATACAAAGCTGCCCTCTGCAGTGATGGTTATGTTTTATGAAGCTTTTGGTCAAAAAAGCATGCATGTAATCCAATTTATAGATTATCTGTTACTAAGCGCGCAACAACAACAGAGGTCTAGATACGATAGATCTTCATTCCATATGGAAATATGTCAGTAGCATTCAAACTGGGAAATAAAGAAGTTAAAACTCTTTTGCATTCAAACCTACCAGGAACCTGTTGACGTGAGGAGGATTTCTCCAGGCTGGATAGCTTTGCCCTTGTAATGACAACGACAGGCAGATCTGTTAAAAGAATACTTATGCATGTGGTTACAAAAGCAAAATGAAATGGGATTTAAGGTCAACTCATTTATCAAATATTATGACAAACAATCTTTGTAATTCACTAAATAAATCCTTTTATTTATATTTATAATGCACATGTAATTAAAGGCAAAATTAAAGGATGACAGTCTGGCTTCACTGAAAGCAATGTCAAATGCCCACTATCTTTAACAAAGCTAGGATTTTCCTCATATCTCTATACTATTTATGTGCTGTTTCTCTGTATTACAAACTTCAGAAAAGTGTTTTTTTTTTTTTTTTTCTCCAATTAACGGAGTAGTACTGCAACATGTAACTCCTGGTCCAAGTAGTTTCAAAAGTGTGAAACAGAGGAGTGTTCACAGCAAAGTCTACTTATTCAAGAAACACTGAACTAGGCAATAGCCAGATGGTACAGAAGCATCACAATTCTCTTAACCTCATACGATAATATGGGAATACCAGCTTTCCTCATAATTTAATTGTTTGAAAATGGCTTCATCCCTGCTGTATGAACTTTATTGATTTTACCAAAATATTTGTCAGAATGAGCAGCAGTAAATCTGAATAATCTTGAAATTTATATAAATATTCATTCCAGTTTTTAATTCAGTATCTAAACTCCATAGCTACTCATGGTGGTATGCTGTAAAATTTAGGTACTCAGTATAAAAAACTGTTTCGCTTCATTTATATTTTCCTACCCTTTAAACTGAATGTTTTTGCACTGTGCCATAGAGAAAACAGACACCCCAAGTCCCTGTCTCCCTTCTGTCTGTGGCTTTCTGGGTTACTATTATGTTCATTCTCACTTTTTCCTAAGTTTCTAGGACAGTCTTTTCCATATAAAAATGCTTTCCCATGAGTCAAAAAAGTTTCATTGCCCTTCTCTAAAGCAGTGTGAAACATCTCTGAATTGCTGTAGATGGCTCTAACACAAAATAGTAGATGAAGCCACATTATTGATTAGTACAAAAATATTGGAAGCATGCATTTCTATCCCATTTTTTGGCAGTCTACATCTTCGGAAAAAAAGAAAAAAGTTTTCCAAAACTTACTGGAAAGAGACAAATGCACTTACACACGTATAACATGACTTACATTGATAAACAAAAGTTGACCGACTCTTCAAAGTATTTCCCATCAGGACAATTACATCCTTCAGCACAGTCATCACCACAGCTATTTGCCATAGAAAGTGAAGCACAGGAGTGTTTACAAAAGGAAGAGCACTGGTGGTAGAGCATACCGTTGTGACACATCACAGCTGGGGAAGCAAGAGAGAAGGGAGAACAACATATTCTTAAAAAGTGAAAAATAAAAAACAAGCCAAGTATACCACAAGAATGCAAAACAGCCAAGCAAAATGCACTCTTCTGCTCGCGACTCAGCTAAAATACTTTAGAAAAGCGTGTTTTACTGATTTCTTAAATTAGAAATATTTAGATTAAGTATGGGTTAAGATTAGAAAGTTCCCTGGAAAAGTAATGAGTGTCTAAATTAGATTCTACCTGTGTGTGCAAGAGTATATTTACATGGACATCATGTATGTATGTGTATATATATATTTTATAAACAGAAATTTAAGTTCTCCTTGCAGTCGTTGGAAAGAGACAGATATCCTGTGTGAGGTAACTCAGAGCCCTTGAGGTAGATGCCCAGCATCAAAGGCTATTAGGATTCTCTCCTGACTATTTCATGAGCCCATGGCACAATTTTAGTTTGCAGCATAAAATACCAATTATTTTCAGTATTTTGTGGTGAATTATTATTTTGAGATTTTTTTCACATTTCTGCAAATGCTACTCACCACAGTAAGAAATATGAGATCTGAAGTCAATAGCAATTCCATGCTTGCCACAGACATAAGCATAGTGTGCAAGAGCATTGCACAAACAGCTGCTTCCACATTTGCATGCATCAAAACGGCACAGCTGGTAGTATAATCCTGGACTGATGTAGGCATGGCAGGGAGCAAAAAGTTCTTGATTGATGATATCACAGTGAGATGCATACCCAACTGAGAGAAGGTGACATTGTTTTAGCAGGAGCCTTGTTCATAGAACAATTAATCAAATGAACAGCATGGAATATTAAAACCAAAGGCACTCAGCCAATTTCTATACAAAGTCTTTTTGCAATGTTTTACAGTTTAACACTGATATTGTAAGTAATTCCCTCAGCAACAAACTCCACTTAAGGTAAAAATAGCTATATAAAAGAGTTGCATTTTCCTCTGGTGACACAGAAAACACATGAATAGCAATAAAACTTGTTTCCAAAGATTTAGCTAGAGGAGACTTCCAAAGTTTGAATTTTTTTTTTTTTACTTACTTGATGTTTCGTTCAGCTTTGAAATCAGCAACGGCCATATACTTCTTGGCATGTGGCCTTAGCAAGCATTACAAACTGCAGCTCAGGGACATGCAAGTACTAAGCCTGCCATAACCTCCTGCTACCCTCCTTCGAGCACTCCAGCACACTGGTATCTCAGGAGTGCCAGAGTCCAGAGCATGTTTAAGCCAACCTTGCTGCTAAAATAGAGTCCCTACCCTTCCTCCTTTTTCTTCATACCCACACACTCAGTGACTGAAAACATAATCTGGCAAAATAAGCAAGTAAACAAACAAAGATTACTTTTCCAGTTTTATCAGATTCAGATCATCAGAGATCTGAAAAAAAACCTTTTGCTACTGGTATGGGTGATAGCCTGGGGCAAGACCCAGGGGATGCTTTTTCTCATGATAGTTAGAAAGCTTAAGAAAAATTCAGATTAGAAGGGACCTCGGAAGGTCATCCAGTTCAATCTCCTGCTCTAAGCAGTTTACACCTGTGGCAAATTCCACCTTCACTGAGGAAACACAGAACTGAAAGTCAGACATGAAGCACTGTGGCCATCATCATGCTGTAATCCAGCTATAGCCATGAGGCAGGAGAAGACCCCTGAGAGAAGGGTTGACAGAGATGAGTTGCTTTAGAAAATTAGTCAATTTTGAAGGTATAAAGTATACCTGGAAAGTATAAAATCCTAGATTCTTACAGGTTAACAGACTCAGCTCAGCCCCACAGGCTCTAAACAGGATAAAATCTCACATTGTTAGTCCTCTGCAACACTAAGAACACTAAACTAAATCATATCAAAATTTCACAACTTTTTTTTTAATTAATTCAGATGAAGGGAAGAAAAGAACAGCAGCATGGAAAGAAAGACATCATGTCAGGGAATTTCAACCTGAATCATAAGCACTTTTACCAGCTGAAATTAAATCTTTACTCAGGTATTTGAACAAATTTTGGGATCTCAGATTGTTTGTATAGGTTTGTGTGAGAGACAACATTAACAGAAAATGAAGAAACTTTTAAATAGAACATCTTATACTTGTATGGAGAAGCCAGAGACAAGACTTTTGATCTGACCTCCGGCTAGGCAAGACTCTATCTCCTGTTGCTTCTTTGTCAATCAACAAGCACACACAGAATCCATGCTATTCCTCTTATTTGGAACAATTGACAGGAGAATGGAGTGTGTTTGTGCTATTAGACAGTAGGATTTAAGGCTAGTGGCTGCATATCCAACATTAAATGGTCAGCTAACTTTTATTTACCAAGGACAGTACTTGTTAAAGAAAAAAAAAGGAAAAAGAAAAGAAAATGTGTGCTAAAATAGAATTTAAATGACAGAATTGTTTTTAGTTTTCATGTACGAACAACATTTAACATTCAAACTTATTCACATAGAAAACAAAATTCTACCATGATAGTAAGATAAATCTATTTCCAAAATCCCATGTAAAAACATACCATTTTGCTGATTAACATTACAGGGGTCAACCACAGGAATGTTGATAGGCACAGAACAAGCTGAGGAAACTTTCCATGCACTGGCATGAAGTTGGGGGGTACCTTCTATCATCCCTGCTGGAGAACTGAAAAGGAAGAGATTGAGATTGCATGTGTCCCACTGAATTTACAGACTACACAAGTTAGGATACAAATACATCAGAAATCCTCAGATACATCTGCTGTCTTACTCATGAAGAAATATCTTTACACTCAAAGTCTGCCATCATTTACACTTAAGACAATTACATTGAAATCAGCTGGAGAAAGCGTTATTGAGAGGAGGATTTGGCCATTACAGCATATACATTTGGTGAAATGTCATAAATTTGAACTGATATTTTTGGTCTCCTAAAGAGGGATTATTTGCATTTTGTTCTCTTCCTCATAGAACATCTGAAAAAAAATATTATTGCTAAAAAAATCTGTGACATAACATCTTGAGGAACTTTTGAGGAATTGAACCTAAAGAATAAGGAAAGCCCTTACAAGCCCTACAAGCAAATGTTAATCAGGTGAGAATGCTATTAGCATTATTATCAATGCTTTTAATCAGTGCTTAGGCAGTTGCTCTGATGATAACAGAGCAGCATCAAGGAGAAAAAATGCATTAAAGCAATATCATGGTCCACTAACTTCTGTCAATAATATGCTAATTTTCTAATTAAAAAGCAAAAATGACTTTGAACATTAAATTTATGAGTTTCGGATTTTAAAATGACTAATATTGTATTTAAGTGTTTTTAATTGGCTAATTTAATAAAGTATGAGTACATTAATGAAACGAACTAACCAGCTTATTATATTTACCAGAATATTTCACTTGTTATTAAACACAAACTAAAGGTACATTATGTAACATACAGAAAATCATCTCTTAAATTTCCGTTATAAGTTCCACATAGTCCCAATGTTCTTCTCTTCCAGCTGACATCAACTTGAATGTAGAGCCTCTCTCCATCTTTAGCAAAAAGTATCTTCAAACCAAAGCTGGTTTTTAGTTGGACAAACAAAGAAGATATATTCTGAATTTCAACAGCCCCTAAGAAAGACAACGAAAGCAAAGTAATTGAAATCCAGTTTCCGAGTTCTACTGGCTTGCTCTGAAAACTCAAAATCAAATAAGAAACTATACACAACCTTATCTGTCCTCACAGATTGTCCATTTTCCATCTATTTCCATGGTCCTTGTCCATTTTCCATCTATTTGTATGAGACTACATAATCTTATCATTAGCAAAACGAATGAAGAATTGCAACTTACTGTCACCAGCAAATATGTCTCACCTTTCTCTATCTATGAGTTGCACAAAAACCACTCTAGCATCTAATGTTTTGACAAGAAAGCAATGCAACAGCATCCTTTGACAATGAAAAGACAAGAAACGACTTGTTGCTAGCTCCCAGGAGTGTTGAAAGATTAGTTAGGTGCATTGCAATAAGGTGCATTGCAATCTTCAGCTAGAAGGTTCTACCCAACTAGTATTGACATGGCACCAGTATGGTTCCTGCCTTAAGTTATATGTGGACCCTTTTCAGATTCCCAGCTTAACTTCCAAACAAATCCGTTATGTCAGGAAATGAAAATTTCATATTCACTGCATTCATTTGCTACACATGGTGGTTGGGCTACTTGCAGCTGCAGGTTTAAAACAGGTTGACTTTTGCAGTCAGTGAATATGGCATATTTTATATATAAAAATATGTGTGTGTGTGTGTGTGTTTATATACATATAAAAATCAGTGGATGGATGTGGGTGTGTACACACACGTACTCAGCTGCGTAAACAAATACAAAGAGGCAAATAAGCTTCCATGTGCTTAAAAATTTTCTTGTCTGGCAAAAGTTCTTATAGAAATACCCAATTATCAAGAATGTAACAACAAAATATTTGTCATACACTATATTTCTTGTGGAAATTAATTAAGGATTGATACAAAGAATTAAATTCTCAGGCAGAACTTTTAACATAACTTAAAATACAACTGAACTATAAAAGTCATTGCCATAAGAAGCTGTCAATGCCAAAATCAAAATTAGAAGTAGGCAAATTCATTGAAAAAAAGGTATTGCTTCAACCACCATACCAGATCTTACTGAGCTGCTAATTGGCAGAGGTTGGAAAAGGAAGAGGGACACTTCATTCTACCCTTCAGAAAGAGATAAAGAATTGAGTAAGAATCCTCTGCTTGTCACTATAAGACACTTGGCAGTATCGGTTGTACAGTACAGAGTTTGTCTTCCAAGAATCTCCTTTTCTATAGGTATTATTAGAAGAAATGTGAACTCTGGTAAAACTCCTCTCCAAACATTTCTTACCATTGAGGTTAAAACCTTGATTAGGGCCATTTTGGACTTGACCATATCTTGCAAGAGTTACTTGTTTGCTCGCATCATCTTCAAGAACTAATGTTATAGACTCAATGCAGGCATGGTCAAAGTTCTAAGGGAAAATGAATTTTAAGATCAAAAACAGGCAAAGACATTAATAATAGCATTGAAATAAAAGAAAAAAAAAAGAAAAAGAAAAAAACAGTTGCACAAAATGGAAAGACCAGAGATGTCATTTAGGTAAATCAGTATTAAACTGAATACCCAAAACTGAACATCACAACATACTGCATTTGAAGGCAAAAATGAGGGGCATGTATTTTAGCTGTTATGAGTGTCCAATAATTAGTGGACTGAGATCCCAAATATTCATACTGGGTTCAGATGGTAATACCTGCATGGCTCCCTGGGTTCTGCTCCTTGCTGGCTTAGCCAATGGGTCAGCAAGAGTCTGAACACAGACACATCAAGCTGTGTGGCCCAAGCCCAGCAGTGCAATAGAAAATACTGCACACATGAAGGGGCTTCTCCTCCACCTTGAAACAGTCCTGATCTGTGACTACAGACAAAGGAATATATTTTTTTCCAGAATTATACTAAAATAATTTACTAATATCAGGTGAAATACCTATGAAAAGCTGGAAAACTGTTTTAGCTTAAGATATTTTTAAGATATTTTTAAACATATCCCGCTACGGGGTATAAGTTACAGCAGCACCTATAAGATTTCCTGAAATATATATGAACGTGTTTGTCATAACTGTTCGAGAAAAGTGAGACTTACTGGTCCACAAGGTGCTTTCTGTAAAGTGATGGTGAATTTGTTTTTCCCAGTGCCTTTTACCAAAATGTACTGGCAAATGCCGAGAAAGGTAAAATGACGACCATCAAATGTTGTGAAATGAGAGTTACCTGTGATGGAGCACTCAGCTTGAGAGAGAAAAAAAAATCAGTAAATGTAATATATCATTAAAAAATTCAAAAAAGAATGTTCATTTGTGTAAGACTGTATTATTATTTTATAAATGATGGAAAGCAGCTAAATAACAAATGTCCCCTTGTTTCCAAGTATATAACCCAGTCTAGTTTTAATTTAACTAGCTACAGCATTTGGAAATGAAATAGGTTATATATAGTTATTTCCAGTGGATATCATCTCACACTGCACATGTGCAGCATCCTTTGGTTCTGATTAAATGAGATGCCCTTGAGTCACCATTTTTCTAGCATACATGAAAGATTTAAAGAACAGCAATTTTCACTTTAGTACAACTAACTTTGAATTTTCCTAGAATCTTTTCCTCATCTTTTGGCATATCCAAGTGTGAAAGAGAGGACAAGCTGCTTTGTGCTCTCTCCTGTGTACTACTGCTGTTACCACTGCCATAAGAGGGTAGGTTTAAGTAGGTAGGTTGTACTGAAATTTAGATAAGCAGATATGTGTCCCCTGTTCTCTGGTGCCCCTATATTAGTGTTTTGGTTTTGATCAGGAGCATGCAGTTGAAGCAAGCTTCCTACATGTCCC